AGGAAAAAAAAAACATCTTGAAGTAAAGCTTGTCTGACTACCGGTCCTACAAAGACTTGAAAAAAAAAACAGACATGTACTTAACTAGTTCTTAAAAAGATTTAATTTTTTTCTAAAAACTAGAGCGTTTAGGACTGGACTAAATTGGTGTTTATGCATCTTTACTTGGTAGTATGTTACATTAACAAAACAGTAATCAAAATACGTGTGCATTTATCTATCATCTATTCTTAGCAATATGTATTTAGAAAAGATAGAATCAAGAAAATACAACAATTGTTCATCATAATGGTTTTATTACAATTCATGGAAAGTACCTTGGTTGGCATCCAACACCATGAAAAACAAATGTTTCATTGTAACAGGATCTTACCGCAACAACAAAGAGTGTACTTCTGAAGATACATGGGTTTCCATCACAAGGTTGAACATACCGTGTCAATGATCAAATATCAAAAAATCAATCCCAAACACCCTATAAGACTCATTGATGATATGAGAGAGTACATTAATCCCTTTCATAATCTTATATTCATAATCTTAGACACTACTAAGGTATAGAAAAATAACATATGTTTTTTTTTTGGGTGGGGGCTTTGATTGCCTTGATGAGCCATTTCTATTCTTCTTTTTTGAAAATACAAAATATCAATGCATTTCAACTTATTTGAAAAAAAATAATAGATTAACACATTTATAATTTATAAATTCTATCACTAAATAAAAGGAACAATAAATTAGTTTTTATAATAATGCACAAGTTGACATTCTTTGTTTGTCGTATAAAACGAATAATCAAATCACTTATCATTTTAATGCAGAAACGTAAACAATATAAACCAAAAACAACTCACTTAAAAATAATGATGAATTAGATATTTAAAAGCAACATACTTACTTTTCAATAAATAACTATAACAACAAAATTATAATTCTTTAGTCGAATTTCATGTCCATGTTATAAGCTTCAATATCTGTCACATGATTGTGGCGTCGGCCACCTTTCATTTTTTTCTTACTACAACATTGAACTTTAAAACTTATCCTGCATTATCCAACCCCATATCAATAACATAAATATTAAGGGTAAACAAATGAAAAAGTAATGCATTTTCAAACTTGAGGCTAGCGGCAAACATTATTTGGTTTAAACCACGAAGCCACCATCTTAACCTTATTTATTTTTTAGGATCGGATTATTGGGTAGTGGTTTGGTTTGCAGCTTGAATGGAGAGCTTTAATAGGTTTGCAGTTTGGGTGGTGGTCGGTTATCGCAAACTGTTACCAAACCTGACCAAATTATTTGGTTAACCTCGGTTTTGCGATAAAGACAAACTCGACTAACCCGGATCGTTTAACCCAAAAAACCCCTAACCCGCCCGATTTAGCACAGGAGACACGTGTGAAATCAAAATCAACTACAAAATAAAAATGGGAACCCCAATTATCGTTATAAAAAATAAGTAAACCTCAACCTAATTTACTGCATTAGATCAGGTTAGAAAATTGTTCTATCACATTGTCATAAATCGAAATGAACACACACACACACACACACACACACACATATATATATATATATATGTGTGTGTGTGTGTATCAAGAATGCTTTCTGGTAATAGTAATTTGTTACTATATAACAAAGAATGCATTGGAGAAACATATAGTAGGTTCCTTCTCTCCTGCTTCTTTCTGGTTCTCATTACACATCTAAAGCAATGGAACACATTCAATAACAAAAAAATGAAGCTTTTATCAGAAAACAAAAAAATTTGAAGCATTAATCAGAGAGCTACATTTAAAATAGAAAACCTGCTCCGAGTGGTCATTTCACAAGTAGGTTGCTGCATATTGTGACATCCCCAAAATCTCGGCCAGAAAAGACCGATTTTCATTTATGCTTTTAAAATAATTTCAGAGTAAATCCTTTTGATTTGAAAGAGTTGCGGAATTTGTTCCCAAAAACAAAACGTGATAAAATAATATTTACCAAAACATTTCATAAAAGAAATGTATTTTCATTATATAATCAAAACTTGGGATGTCATGTTCCGATATAGACCATAAAGCATAAACGATAACATTACAAGTCATTCAACAAATATATACATATACAGACTTGTAAACAAAACAACTTGATGATTCATCAATCTTATGCCCTTGCGTCACTTCCTGTAATACAAATAAAACTGAGTGGGTCAGGCTTGGGAGCCTGGTGAGCATATACAGTTTTCATCCCACAATAAATAATTATATTTAATTCCACCAACCACAATAGCCCAATTACCCATTCCCGTTATTCTCACTTTACGTCCCTAAAACAACTAACAGAAAGGACCTAGTCTTAGAATATTTCATCGGGGCGACAACACATGCATTCGGGGGTTTCCCGAAAATATATGTCAAATAAGGCAACCATGAGGGGGATGGAGTACAGCGAATGAACACCCAAGTTCATTAACACCTACAGGTGGCGAACCTGCTAGCGTTCCACATGACTGTCTAGAAAAGTCTGTGGTCGTCATCTAAACTCCGCTAGATGACTGAATCAAAAACAACGTCGAGGACTCTCATCTGTTTATCACACAACTATCTACCCATGTTCTATCTGACATATTAGTAGATAAAAAATATATTTTTATACATAGTTTAAAACCTGTATAGCATTCTCATTCAATACATATTTCAAACAACAGATGAGATACATACACATAACACGTATTTCATAGAGAATAAATATATCTATGAGATAGAAGAAAGTGAATATACATTCACACATATAATAACAAAATATACACATAACACGTATTTCGTGTAAAATACTTTATAATTATGCGTTAGAAGAAAGTAACCACACACTCACTTGATCAGAAGATGATCGGACAACACTACGACTTGTAGAAGTAGTATTATTCGGCAGATCTGGAAGATCTTCACAAAAACCGAACTCCTCGCAGGCAGAGCTTCGGCTTGAGAATTGCACTTCTCGGGATCTTCGGGGCTTCGGGACTTGCTTCGGGGCTCAGGAATGATACCGGGGCTTCGGGATAATTCTTGCACGAAAAATGATGCAAAAACGCGAGAAAATGGAAGAAATGAGCAATGAACTCCATTGCCCTCGACATCCTTTTATAGGGGCTGGAACTTCGAATTACGTTTGGCGTAATATGAAATTACGCTGGGCGTAGTGAGGATAGGGTCGCTGACTCCCTCCATGGCTAATATCGGTTAATATATATATAAATTAAATATCGAAAATATTTAATAAACTTCAAAAATTCATATCTTCCTCATACGAACTTCGTTTTCGACGTTCTTTATATCCACGCGTAGGTGAGACTACGATCTACAACTTTCGTTTAGACTCCGTCGGCTAATTTTGATTTATTTTTATTATTTATTTTTAGTAGGCCGGGATAGGAAAACTCCGTTATAAATTTATAACTTCTTCATCTGACGTCCGTTTTCGCCTACCTTTTTATCGTTTTACTACTATTAACGAGACCTTCGATTCTCATTTAGATTGTTTCGGCTAAAAACCGCTCGATCTCAAATCGAGTATTCGGACTGCATACTGCTAAGTCGAAACTTCGAAAAATCATAACTTCCTCATACGAAGTCAGATTTGGGTGTTCTTTTTATGCACGCTCTCGGTTTAACAAACTCTACGACTTTCGTTTAGATCACTAAGGCTAAATATTGCTCTAACGTAAATTTCACTTTTTACGTCATTCAGCGTTGTCGATTCTATCGCGAAACTTCGACATGTCATAACTTCTTCGTGATAACTCGGATTTCGGCATTTTTTATATCTTCGGAATCCTTGTTTCGACCACTACATCTTTATGCAAAGATATCGGGCTTATCTCATACTTTAATTTTGACGGTTATTTTATTCTTAATTCATTAAATCATAATAATTAAGCAAATAAACACATAACTCACATAATACTCAAATATTTCATCATTAATAATCCAAAAAGAGATACAACGTGTAACCTAGACTATTTCATCAATGATAATGCCTAGCCTGGAAACGCGAGCGTTACACATATGATCACAAATAAAACTTTAATCGGATCAAAATCGAACCCACCCAAACGTCTACAAAAAACCTACAACAAATGAGAATGAAACCCTTAAAATAGAACCAAAAATCAAGAACAAATTAAAAATTCAGATCTAAAAACTCTATGTGTGTGCATAGATAGAATCTTGTGGCACTTTGATCTTGGATTATTGCCATCAGTCCCGTTAACAGCTCAAAATCTCGAATTAGCTGCAAAAATTATTGGCGAAGCTTGAATAGAAAGATGAAAACATATAAAATATTAAAAAAAAAAAAAACACAAGTACCCATATCCTGTTTTCATACTTCGTAGGTCTAGGGTTTTCATGTAGAACAACAGCGACATTCTCTAGGTTTTCCCGTGGTGGTGCAGTGGTTTTTCCACAGAGGTAGAAACGAATCTTTAGTAATGTTGGGAGGAAACTCCAAGGGAGGTGGTGGTATAGAACCAAATAAAAATCAGAATCTTTAGAAAGATATGAAGAAATTGAGATACCACTATCACGTTTGGAAGGAGACATACCAAAAACAGAAGCTGAGTGACGGTGAGAAGGTGCCTAATCAGTCGATGAACTTCCGACATAACCAACACAAACACAAATGAACAAACAGTGGGTGGAGATTGAACCTGGAAATCGCCGACGAGATTAACTAGTTAGATGGGAAAGACAACCATAACAAAATAGCATCGATGGAGGTGGGAAAAGTGGTGGATGATGCCCAAATTTAGGGTTAGAGAAAGAAAGATACAAGAAGATGTGGTGGAGGTTGCGATTGGCATTGTAAGGGGGCGGTGCTTTAAGGGTCTAGACAGAGACCTGATTGAACAAAAAATGCCAACTGTGGTAGCGGTCGTCAGTTGATTTGATCAGGGATTTAGTCTACGGTTGTTTCTCCGGAATGTGAAGGAAGTCGGTGGAGAAACGGAAGAATGGTGAGGCGGTGGAGATCGATTCTGGGATGTTACTTTCTGAAGCCGATGAGTTTAGAGGGATATGGAGGGGTTTGGAGAGGCGGTGGGCATCGAGAGACTAGATATGAACACGCGGTGACTATGGGTGGGCGGTGGGTTTTTTGAGGAGAGAACACGTGTAAACCATTAACGGAAAAAAGGAAGAAAAATCAACGGAAATCCACAAAACAAAAAAGAAAAATCAAAAAAATATCCACCAAGCACAATAAAAAACTAAAAATAGACAGAAAATAAATTTAAAAAAAAAAGAGTCAATCATATCCAAAAATTGTTCACTAATATGCTTCAAAATTAAACTAAATGTTATAATTATATATGTGTTTTGGTTGTGTGTTTTCATGTGACTTTGTCTGTGTATGTGTGACTTTGTCATGTGTTTGTTGCAAAGATAGAAATTACATTGGTCTTTTGTTTTTTTTTCACACATACAGTTTATCTTACTTCAATACAATTATTTTTCAAAAAAAAAAATTGCTTAAACTTTTGCCACAACGCGTGGACTTAAAACCTTAATTTCCAATATTGACAATACATATTACACATAAGAATTAGTATTATTTAAATGAAATAAAGTTTGATTGAAAACTCACTAAAAATATCATCTTTCATCCCAATTTAAAGGTTAAATTACATAAAAATCAATATATTGTGTTTTCATGTTGTTATTTTTTTTTAATTTTTGCATCTGTTTTTTTTAAACTAAAACATTGGTTTTCCTAATTTGTTTCGGTCTTCACCACTTAACCAACTATTTGGTTATCGACTAACATAACACTTATTGATGAAGTGACGTTAAAATAGCATAAGAATATGACATATTGATGTAGCAATCCTTGATGTCATGGCACTAAGCTTCACAATTTAAAAAAAAAAATTAACAAAAAAAAAGAGAGAGAGAAAGAGAGAGATGAGCTTCACAATTAAGAGAGAGAGACTAAAATCTAACAATTTTTGTGCTATTTCATCTCATCATAAAAATAATGAAATTGTAACACTACTTATTCGTAATTTCTTAACCATCCTATGTATAGAATACGAGATTTTTTCTGTATGTATTTTAAGACGTACCCTACCCAAATACCGAAATACGAATACGGTATGCTATAAATCCAACCCTAAATACTCAAGCAAAAGAGAGGGAGATAGAGAGACAGAGGAGAATCGGTGGATTAAATCACATGACCATCTGCAAGAATAATATATGATAATTTTATGCAAATTAATTAATTTTTTATATAATAACTAATAGAAATCATATCGACATGCATGTTGTCACACGGTCTTTTGGTTCACCCACCGCACGACGCCTTACGATCACTAGTCACTACCGCACATTTCCTTGATGCACCGGGGTATTTTGGTAAATCACAAAATACTAGCAAGGCCTCATAATAAAAGAAAAAGTACCTTACATCAAGAATTGATTTCTTTTCCACAATTTCCACCAATCCCCGTATGAATAAATCCGTCCGTTGAATAATGGTCGACTATATACTACACAGATCCAACGGCTACAAGAAGAGATACTTCTTTTCGATTTCCTTTCAAGCACCTCCCCTATAAAATCATTAAAATGGCAGTGCTTGTGCCCTTCTTGCCAACTCTTCTTATACCACCCCTCCGGCTCTCCAGTCATCATAGGGTCGTATTCTCCGATTGAAAATGTTAGTCCGTTTGCTCACTATATATGTTTCTATTTAACATAAAGCTTGTTAGTTTTACTAGTTTTGTTTGAATCATTATTATGATTTGCGATCGACTGTTTATGTTACTTTTTTTTCTGTTTTCATCGCACTGTATTGATTTTGGATTTCATACGCAGCATTTATACATCTGGTTATATTTGTGTTTCTAGGATAGATTTGTTATGTAGGGTGGGCTTGGCTATTTTCACCAGCAGATAGTGGGCTAATATGTGGTGAAACTGTCAGAAAATGGAATCACTAAGGCTGTTCTTGAACCCAAGAACACCATTGGACGTATCTCAGTACTTTCATCGAACACTTGGCGTGCGATCTTTGAAACTCCACCTCAACATATAATTTATTTGTGGAAGGACCAAATTTTCGAATCAAATCAGCAGAAGAAATACAACTTGGGCCGGAGTGAAGGCAATGGGTTATCTAAAACATTTTGGGTTGTAAGCAAAAGTTGGGCCATACTCGGTTGAAGAAAACCTAATCAGAAGGGGAGTCATGAACATGCTAGAGTGTTGGACCAACGTGGACCTACAGTAGGCTCGTAGGGTGTTGTTGCATTATTTGTGGTCTAAATCCGCCAAGTCCACCATGATTTGTGACTTGATTTTATGTAGAAAAAATGAGGGGTGACTACAAAACCAAAGTAAGATTGACCATTTTTGTGGTTGATCAAGAACATTATGCCCCTTCTTTTAAGGAATTCTTGCTACTATTGCAATTTTTTGACCATTTACTCATCTACTTTCTAGTATTGTTAGAAGAAGAGTACAAAGCAAAGCTTTGAGATAACTTATTGTCAAGAGACAAATATGTGGAGGCTTCCCTAGATTCGTGCAACACGAAGATATTTTTGCCCTCGAGGAACGAGGAAAAAGGCATGGTGTTGGTGATGACGTCTACAATGTTGTGGTATGAGGGAAGTAGTTGTCTAAGAATTTGCATAACTAATGTAATATCAGTAATATCAGAGTCAACCTCTTTGAGATCATCAACAAGGTTTTTGAGAGTATGAAAGTAGTTAGGGATAAAACTTGATCCATTTTTGTTATTGTAAAATTGGTCTTGCAGTTGTAGCATGCGAGACATTTTATTGTGGTGAAAAAATTCATCCAATTTGTCCCAAAGGTCTTTTGTAGTATAATAATTAGTTGATCAATGGGAGGTTCGATGGCACATGAGAGATTAGGTACTGTAGCAAATAGAGCTTCGCGAAGATCTGATGTGTTGCAGAACAATGACATGTTCGATGGCATAGGAGAGATCGCTTGTAGAAATGGACACGAGAAAAAAAATATATTGTGATCATTCATACGTATGGTAGTAAACACATAGCCCTAGCTTAAACCCCTTAGGGATTGTAGATGTATATTTTAGTATATATAATATAAAATGATACAAAGGGAACCTTATACTATTTAATAATGAAAAAATAAACATATAACTTAACAAACTTAACTATGTTTATCATTTTAGGACAAAAAAGAGATCCCAAATGAAGGGCGTCTTCCTGATGCAACCAAAGGTAATGACCATTTAAGGGAAGTATTTGTTGAAACCATGGGTCTTGAAGACATAGACATTGTAACTCTATCTGGTGGACATACTTTGGGAGGTGCACATAAGGAAAGATCTGGATTTGAAGGACTATGGACTTCAAATCCTCTTATCTTCGACAATAGCTACTTTATGTGAGATTTTAAAGTCCTTTTTATTCTTGTAGTTGTTTGTTGGTTTTATTTCTTATAACCACTAAATTAATACAAACAGAGAGCTTCTTGCTGGTGAGAAAAAAGGGCTTCTCAAGCTACCTACTGACAAGGCTGTTCTTGATGACCCTGTATTCCGACCCCTTGTTGAGAAATATGCTGCTGTGAGTACATTTCCTCTTAAATCACTTCATCTTTTAATATTGATATTGTGTAAAATTGGATGCTTATTTTTTTTAAATGTTTTGAAATAGGATGAGGATGCATTCTTTGCTGATTATGCAATCTCCCACATGAAACTCTCCGAGTTGGGGTAAAGTTTTGAATTTTAATCTTTTTACCGCAACTTATTTGTGTTAAGAAATTAAAACTTACGATTTATTATGGCTTTCAGATTTGCTAAGGCTTAATCTCGCATAAATGGGGTGGATGACCTAATAAAAAACTACCTTACGACTTGTAGCCTGGTGCAACAAAAATTTCATTGATAATCTTTTGATGTATTATATAATGTTCATGTTGTGAAATACTTGTTTTTACCACGAAGTCATCAAAATCTAGAAACTTAAAAAAAAAATTCTTACAATTTTTGGTGAAAGGCCTTGTTAAGGATTTCAAAACTTGAAATCAACAATCATTTTGACGTTTTTAATGTAAAATTTTAGATAAAGTGACAGTTGTTGTTTCGATGTATATAGTCAAGTTTTAATCTTTTTGATGTTACATATATGGTGCTTTTAGTTAAGGGTGTTATTCGTCGGTATTTTCGTGTTAATCGGTTTAGTTTTATCGGTTGTTTTATAAAACTAACTATAACCAAACCAAAAAAAGTTTGGTTTAATTAGTTTTGGTTATTCGATTCAGTTTACTGGTTAAATCAGATAAAATTTCACATGTAAAAATAAATATTAAACTAAAAAAACTTACGAACTTTTACCCAATGAAAAAGTACACTGATACATAATATATTATATTTGGCCTTTCATGATGTACATGCATATTAATATAACTTTAGTCACCTATGAAGAGGAAAGAAAAGAGGGTAAGTTCATTGGCATTTTGTTAATTAGTGGTGGGTTTTAATACAAAAAAAAAAAAAAAAAAGAAAAAAGAAAAAAAAAATTATAAATTTTATAATGGTTAATAACTAAATATTGAGGTATGGAAAGCGTTTTTAGTAACTAATCTATATAAAATGTTAATTTATAAATATAAACTATAAAAACATATATTAATTAAATAGTTTTTTCGGTTTAAACCAAAGTAATGAAAATTTAATCAAACCAAACTAAATAAGGTATCCGTATACAGTTAACCAAACCAAATAAAGCAAACTTTATGTGGTTCGTTTATCCATTTTCAGTTTTTTGTCACTCCCATACTTCTAATAATAAAAAAAATAATAATAAATAAAAAAAAAAATAAAAAAAAATAATAATAAAAAAAACTAATCAAGAGATTGCAGATTTTATCATAACAAAAAGTTGATTATATAGATGAGAATTTTCATTTTCTTGGCATTGTTTTTATTAACAATTGATTTTTAGCCAACACTCCTATTAACACGATTCTTTTGTATTTTGTTGTACTATTGTTGTATATTGTATATAGTTTTATTTTCTCTTTGCATCCTGGTTATGGAATCACAGTTTTGTTGTCACCTCAAGATTCAGATGTTAGCATGGAATTTGGAAACTATTTGGATTTAGATAGCTACATGCTTTCTTGTGGGATGCAAAAATGAAGACTTGAGAGAACGGGATATAATGCATAATACGCCCGAGTGCCTTAGTTTAAAAATGACAGAAGATGGATAATCAGGAGTTCACACATCTTGTGAAATGAACACATGCAAGAATGTTTGAGTGTCTATGTGATCTTGTCCTTTGGATTGGGACGAATCCGCTTTGGCTAGTGAGATTTACTAAGAGTTGCCTTATACCATGACTCTACGTGTTTTGCGGTATGAGCTTAGTGAATGTTTATGCCTTTATGTGTTAGAATGCAGTATATTTCTTGTGTGCATGAGATATAAAGTAGTAATTCTTTGATTATGATTGTATTGTCGTGATGGGTAACCTAAGGTATTCTTTCTTTTTCTTTTATATTCTTGTTTCATTACTTTCCTCACCCAGATTGGATTGAATCTTGTTTTCCTTAAAGACAAGAAAAAGTTCAAGCTTGTCGAGATTTGTTAAGTGCATGAAATGCACTATTTTTACATGTTTATTTCATGTCATGCATTGTATTTTGAGTTAGTTTGTGCATATATTTTATCTTTTCTGGGACAATTAAGGGAAATTGTTTAGTTCCACACTTTTGGTTGCTTTTCTAGCTTCATTTGAAGATTGGATCTTGATTAGGACATTGTAAGGAAGTTGTGAAAAAAAAATAGATTTTTCAAACCAAGAATGAAGGAGTTATGAAATCGAAGAAGCATGTTTTCAGGTTAATACACGTTCATATAACTATCAGTGTAAATATTACACGGTTTTGTTTTTGTGGAAAGTTGATAATAGAAAAAGCATTACACGACCGTGCTTTCTAAAGAAGAAAAAGTACACGACTGTGTAACCGAAGAAAGATCACGATTTGAGTAATGTACGTTTGGAATAATTTCTAACATTGCAATGTACTTTCAATATTATATGACCATGAAATTGTAAGTGTAAAAGTTACATGTTTGTGTTTATGTATTTCGACATTTAAGCGGTTTCATCTCTCTCTGATTTAGAGATAATTTGGCCTCATTTTTAATTGACCATAGTTAAGAGCAGAAGAAGGGTGATTCTGGAAGTAACTTTTATGAAGGAAACAATTGGAAACACTATGAGTTTTGTTTTGTAAGTTTAATTTGTTTTTTACTCTTGATTTCGACTAACTTTCTTTCCATTTTTGGTTCTGAACTGATTAAACACTTGTTAATTTCATGATTTGGTTTTAACTTCAGTTCTATCAATCAATATTTGGTGTGTTCTTCATTATATGTATGATTGTTACTCTTTTCATTTTAGCAATTGAATTAGTGTTTGAATCATTCAAGGTACACAATTTATAAATTTCGCATATGCTTTGTGAATTGGAAAAATTAACAAACACACAATCGGTTTTTGGTAAATCAAAGTTAGTGTAGTCAAGGATTTCATACTTTAACGCTCATGAGCTTGTGAATAGTATCAATTATTATTGGTAAAATTTTCATGAAACATAAATCACTCTTCAATCTCATATAAGAGTTTATTTACATTGGATTAGTTATATTAGGTTTAACACAAAGAGCATATTTTGTTAAATAATTTGGTAAATCTAAGATACTAGAGGTTGTTAGTATTTTAGTACCAATTTAGATAAAATGGAATTTGATATTATCCCATAGTTGACAACATATATGCTTAAACAAGATTTCAGAACTGGAACCTTCAAAATTTTGGATTTTTCATTATTTCTTTACATGATATATTTTTTTAAATCTTTACTTCATATAAAAACAACCTCCAATTAATCATATCATGTCTTGTGTAAAGAAGCTTAACTAGGGCTGTAAACAAATTGAACTTTCGACGAACTGTTTGTGAACCGTTCGATGGGAAGTTTGTTTATGTTTATTTATTTAATAAATGAACGAACATGAACACAAATTTTTGTTCGTTTAGTTAAACGAAAGAGCATGAACATTGATCTCGTTCATTTAATTATGTTAGTGAACGTTCGTTTATGTTGTTTGTTTATGTTCGTCCATTTAAGTTCCTTTTATGTTCAATTGTGTTTAATTGCATTACTATATTATATGTTCATGGTTCTGAGTTGTAACTCGTGTTCGTGTGTGTGTTGTTGTTGTAAGTCGTGAAGTAGCCGTGGATGTGGTTAGTTGGACGGAAAAGGAATAGGACCACCATGGCAACCAACCATGGTGGCTGTCGCCTTGGCTACCCTTTTCTGCCACCACCAACCACCATGTGAGGTGGTTGTTTGTGTTATGGGGTGTGTGTGTCTGTGTTATGTTGTGTGTGTATTATAGCATGAATGTGTGTGTTTTAATGGTATGATGTTGTATGAACAATCCTAGGCTGGAAAATCAAGGAAAACCCACCACTACCACTGTGAGGTGGTGGCTGCCACCTTCTGCCGTCGTTTGCCACCATCTTGGTGGCTGTATTGGACATTTTGGTATTCTTTTTGGTGCTAATGTGTGTGAATGATGTAAAAACTTGTCACACCCCCAAACCAAGGATGGCGGAAACGTCTGGGGGTGGAGGACTTCATGTACAGTATCACAACAACGTGTATAATAGTGCTCAAAGTAAAAACAACCACCATCTATATAATTGCAAAAGTTACACCAAAGTATATGTTTATATGTTTCAAAAGCAATTACATTATGATGACAAAATAAATTGTTGACGGTTTAACGTCCCATCCTCAAAGCGATGAAGTTTTCCTGTTTCACTGATTTCCTGAGAATACAAGTAGTTTTAAAAAGTGTCAACACAAAGGTTGGTGAGTTCATAAGAGTTTTGTTTGAAGTAGAAACCGTTTTTCCTTGTAAAATCGATATAGTTTGATTTCCAGAAAATCCGATATTTTCTTAGTTAAGTATGAATAGAAGTAATCCTACATGATGCATTAATGAACCCTAGAGTAATCCGTAGAGTTCCTCTATAATCGTCCAACATATAAAAGTTATATAAGGTTTAACTTAGATAAAACGTTGAATATAGTGGGTCTGCCCCAGGTCCACAACCCAACGAGGAACAGGAGATGAGGCGGGCACCACCAATTCTAGGCCAATCAAGACTAAATTCTTATATGACTCAAACATATACGCTCAGCGACTATAGTTGAAGTCTAACAATTCTAGAGGGAGTATAGTTTTAATATCATAATAACCTTGTATAGAGATCCGACACTTTGTATTTGTACCCATAGAGATAAAAGGTGATTTTAAATCGACATAAAACTCATTTAGGTTTTAAAAAATAAAATCCCGTAAACTTATGGATTGTTCCCTATGTGAGCCGTTATAATCATACTATGACTATGTGAACCTGCCACGACGTTCTCAGTGTCGCGAAAAATAAAATGACATTTGTCACCCGTAGACCTGCAGGTCCAACTGTAGCTAGTAGCAAGGTGTGGGGTGTCAATCCCAATATAGATCTATATACAAGTATCACGTTCTCCCTCAAGGAGATTCTGATTATAACTACCAGGAATTATATCCCGCACTCGGACGTACGGGGAGAGAGAGAGAGAGAAAGAAAAATAGAGAAACTCACAATATAGGATAACAAGTTTACGTGAAGTGTGTGTGAATATAAATATTTCTTGTATGAATGTACCCTTCTTGTACGAGTGCGTAGAGTGATGTATCATAAACTATACCTATTATAGTTTATCTAAAATGTATGTAATATGTATGAATTCTTTTATGGAAATGTATTAGTGTTGTGAATTTATCAAACTATACTTTTTATAGTTTAATAATACGTGTTCCAAAATGAATGAATAATATTTAATATGAATGTCTTAGTTTCAGTTCATAATGATAAACTAACAAGGAAACACATTCAAATACTAAAACTTATGATTATACACTTTGCTC